TAAGAATGACTTTCTTCCTCCCTTCTACAAAGCTCAAAGTAAAAGTAAGAATTATCCGGTTGGCCCTTCACTCTCAGCTTCACACTGCTGTATCCACTCACAGTATTGCACATAGTAAAAAAGATATAAACAAACCATCACCACTTACTAAAGCCTTCTCATTAGTCGTTTCACTCTTGATCTTTGGAGACATGGACAAGGAACGACCTCACCGCCCCCGACTTTACCACATCGTACAATTACTCCTAATTTGTGCCACTACACTGACTTTTTATTTCTCAATCGCCCATCTCCACACTGCTGCATGTGATCTTGTTAGCCTAGCATGAAGTTAATAATAATCAGACTTTTAATCTATTGAACTAAATGCAAACTGCTGTAAAGGAAATGTGTCGCTATGGTAACTACAGTAGCACTTGCTCTGCTCTGGTGGAAAACCATCTGAACCGGAACCAAAACCCGACCAGGACCAGTCTAGAATCAGCACATCTTGAAATGAAGACTGCAGGTTGTGGTTGTATTTGTTCACAACATTCTACTTTTCTGTTGGACAAACAATGTATTTGCAACGGAAAAGTGACTATAGGAATGGTATGTAAGGGAAGGTCAATTCAATTCAATTCAAATAACTTTATTTATGCGTGAGGAACTTCTTTTGCAGGCAGAGCACCAGTGGGGGTACATAAAAACACAGAAACGCAAGCTCTAGAATACAGACCATGAAACAGACCATCTCCCAATCAGCTGTTTACAAGACGGAGTGGGGAGGGGTGGAAGGTGGATGTCACCCTTTTCATTTTGAATGGGTGGGACCTGTACCTGTGCCCTGATGGAAGCTAAGTCCCTCCATAACCTGGTCCCATCATACCGCTCTGACCTCCTCCATCATCCCTGTCCCACCTGCGGCCTCAGATCCATAGACTCCTCACTCCCATCAGGACTAAACACCGAACTTTGGGGGACCGAGTCTTGGCCGCAGCTGCCCCCATGCACTCTCTGGAACCCACTCCCACAACCAATCAGAAACTCAGACTCACTACAGAACTTTAAATCACTTCTCAAAACCCGCCTGTTTCAGCCTTTCCTTCATTTTGTTCTTCAATGTCTATTTTTGTATGTTTTGTAAAGCGTCTTTGAGTGTCGGAAGTTTTATATAACTTTGATGTATTATTATTATTATTAATATCATTATCAGTGGTATTTATGTAAGGGAAAAAGTTACTATAGCAGTGGTAAAGTTAAAGGTTACAATAGTAAACAGCAAAAAACACATGCACTGTACATATTCTCAACCTACATTAGCATTACCATTATGCTAATACACAATTACTCCTAATTCGAGCCACTATACTGACTTTTTATTTATTTATCCCCCATCTCCCCACTGCAGCATGTGACCTTATTTGCTTAGCATTTGAGTTAATAAAAATCAGACGTTTTAATCTATTGAACTATGCAGAGGAATATCCCCAGGGCTCTTCTCGAAGCGGTTCTACACAGCGGAGGAGTTATGGCAGTAATGAACAATCGGCTTCATTCACTCGTCCCAGGAGCAGAGGCGGCGGCAACATTGACCTCTTTTGTTTGGAAATGCGAAGATAGAATGGAATAACAACAACAAAAGCAGTGAAGACCGATGCGAGTGTGAAATTAGCCAAGAAACGTCCGATAAAATGGGTAAAAATAGTGCAGATCTGAACAGCAATAAAGTTATTTTTCCCCCTCAAATGGGTTATTTTAAAATACTGTGGTGTCTATAATCGCTGATGCCTTGAGGACTGCCATACTTAAATAATGTTTGAATCCATTTTGTGATGTTTTGTGCCAATTACCAATATTTCCCAGCCAACTGTGTTTCAACCCCTAGGGGTACAGGAGCTAGTTGGAATAATTTTCAAAACTTGCAAACATTGATTGTAACAGGTTACTTATGTGCTACCATGACATGTTGTACGTCGTTTTGAGGCCAATTTTCCCAAGAAAACAACCACACTGTTCTAAAATCTAAACCCAGGACACAATGATCGGTAATAAAGAAGGCAATCACAGGCTTTCTCTACATTTGGTCCAGTTTTTGTTCAGTCCAAGCATGAACTCATTTTGTTCAGAATATTCAAAGGTCTAGTTGAATAAAAGCAATAATTTGGTTAAAGTCTTATATTATCAAAACCAATCAATTCAAATCAAATAATTAGACACCAAAGATTACAGCCAAATAGACTTTTCATTAAGAGAATGATGGAGACCAAGATATAATAGTAAAACCTAAAAACTTCAGAATGTGACAGATAATTCTAGCCTTAAAAACGTGCCCTGTCTATGACTATTAAAGCTGATGTACCTGACTTTTGTGTTTACTAAAAGATTCATGAAGGGGCAACAGTGGCTCAGTTGGTAGCAATGGCCTTTGAGCCTGCATGTCCTTCTCCACCGACTCCGACTGATGTCTGCTGTCGTTGTGTCCTTGAGAAAGACACTTAGCCCCACTTTGCCTGAAGCCCCCGCTGAAAGATCAAGTCTATGCTCTCATAAACAGATCAGCCATTCCCCTGTGGACTCATTACCTGCAGAGGATCAGTGAGGAGCTGGTGCTATGTAACTTGGGTGGCATCACTGGGTCGGGGGGGGTAGAAAATGGATGGATGGAAGGAAAACAACAAAGATGGCGCCTCGTACGGTCGACACGGCTCTTTGCTGCTCTCTTTTTCTTTTGTTTTTACTTTTTAAATGTGCATCTGGCTGTTCCTACACCCGTGAGGAACTTATGAACATCCGACCCACCGTTCCCATGGTCATGGACCTATTGCCTGTTTTGGCATCTGCGGCTGATTTAGTTCATGTTCTAGCCAAAAAAGTGTGGGCCCGTAAAAGGGGAAAGCGCGGAGGCCTGCACGTGCGTCTTAGGAGGAGAGGAGCGCGCACGGCTCTCCCCGGCATTTTTCTCACCAACGTACGCTCACTGGGCAATAAGATGGACGAACTCAGCCTGCTCATGAGAAGAAACAAGGACTTCGCCTCATCCTGTATCCTCTGCTTCACTGAGACCTGGCTAAATGAGCGGATCCCGGACTGCGCTCTGGAGCTGCAGGGCTTTGGGCTGTTCCGCGCGGATCGCCATTGTGCGCTCTCAGGGAAGAGCAGAGGCGGTGGGCTGTGTTTCTACGTCAATACAAACTGGTGTAACGATGTGACAGTGATCTCCAAGCACTGTTCTCCTGCTCTGGAATATCTTTTCATTCATTGTAAACCCTTTTACTCCCCTCGTGAATATGTTTCTTTCATTCTTGCCTCTGTTCACATACCGCCATGCGCGGACGCGCGCGAGGCTCAGCGCGCACTCGCAGAGCAAGTACTGTGTATGGAACGTTTATACCCGGACTCTCTGATTATTATCCTGGGGGATTTTAACAAGGGAAACTTGAGCCAGGAATTACCCAAATACAGACAGTTTATCAAATGCCCGACCAGAGAGGAGAACACTCTGGATCACTGTTACACCACCGTGCGTGGAGCTTTTCGCGCTGTTCCCAAGGCAGCCCTCGGCTTCTCAGATCACTCCATGATTCATCTGGTTCCTGCTTACAGACAGAGACTAAAGCTCTCAAAACCTGCAGTGAGGAGCTCCAAAGTGTGGTCTGATGAAGCTGTGGAAGAGCTGCGTGCATGCATGGAATCTACAGACTGGGACCTTTTCAGAGCTGCCACAGATAGTTTGGATGAATATACGGACACTGTGACGTCATACATTCACTTCTGCGAGGATAGCATCATTCCAACAAGGACCAGGGTCATCTATAACAACGACAAACCCTGGTTCACTGCTAAACTCCGGCAGCTCAGGAAAGCAAAGGAGTCTGCTTTCAGGGAGGGGGACCGCAGCGGCTACAAAGCAGCTAAATATCAGTTCAGGAAAGAACTGAAAGCAGCCAAGTCCCGGCACAGAGAACGACTACAGGAGCAGTTTGGTAACAACGATACTGCTTCTGTCTGGAGGGGCCTACGGGAGATCACCAACTACAAACCCAAAGCCCCCCCCTGTGCTGACGACCACAAGATAGCTGACGAACTGAACTTATTTTTCAGTCGCTTTGATGCTGCCCGACACCTCTCCCTCCCCCACCCCCCACTACTCTAACGACCCACCCATCAGCCCTGCCCCCAGCCTAACAATAGCCTCTAAAGACATTAAACAACTCTTCTTGAGGCTGCACCCCCGCAAAGCTCCTGGCCCGGACCACGTGTCTCCGGCCACTCTGAGACACTGCGCCAGTGAGCTAACTCCTGTGTTCACTGACATTTTCAACACCTCTCTGCAGTCCTGCCATGTCCCGGCCTGCTTCAAATCCTCCATCATTGTCCCCGTCCCGAAGAAGCCCAGGATCACAGGACTCAATGACTACAGACCTGTAGCACTTACGTCTGTCGTCATGAAGTCATTTGAACGCCTGGTTCTCTCCCATCTCAAGTCCCTCACCTCCCCCCTCCTGGACCCCCTGCAGTTCGCCTACAGAGCCAACAGATCTGTAGACGACGCCATTAACCTGGCCCTCCACCACATCCTACAGCACCTGGACTCCCCGGGGACCTACGCCAGGGTCCTATTTGTGGACTTCAGCTCTGCCTTCAACACAATCCTGCCATCCCTGCTCCAGGACAAGCTCTCCCAGCTCAACGTGCCCGATTCCACCTGCAGGTGGATCACTGACTTCCTGACGGACAGGAAGCAGCGAGTGCGTCTGGGGAAGAATGTCTCGGACTCTCGGATTATAAATACAGGAGCCCCACAGGGCTGTGTTCTTTCTCCCCTGCTCTTCTACCTGTACACCAACCACTGCACCTCCAGCCACGACTCCGTGAAGCTGATCAAGTTCGCGGACGACACCACCCTCATTGGACTCATCTCCAACAACGATGAGTCCGCCTACAGGAGGGAGGTGGACCGGCTGGTGTCCTGGTGCAGTGGTAACAACCTGGAGCTGAACGCCCAGAAGACAGTGGAGATGATTGTGGACTTCAGGAAGAGCACTGTCCCCCCGCCCCCACCCTCCGTGATGGACTCCCCCATCACCTCTGTGGAGTCCTTCCGTTTCCTGGGCACCACCATCACCCAGTACCTCAAGTGGGAGCCGACCATCAGCTCCCTCATCAAGAAGGCCCAGCAGAGGATGTACTTCCTGCGGCAGCTCAGGAAAGCCAAGCTGCCTGCACAGATGTTGGTGCAGTTCTACACGGCCATCATCGAGTCCATCCTCACCTCCTCCGTCACCGTGTGGTTCGCTGGAGCCACAGTCAGGGACAAACAGAGACTACAGCGCATTGTGCGCTCTGCAGAGGAAGTGATCGGCCGCAGCCTTCCATCGCTGCAGGACCTGTACGTCGCCCGAGCTCGAGGCCGGGCTGGTCGTATCACAGCCGACCCCTCTCACCCTGCACATGGACTATTCCAACCACTCCCCTCAGGCAGGAGGCTGCGGTCCATCAGGACTAGAACCTCCCGCCACAAGAACAGTTTCTTCCCCTCTGCTGTTGGACTCTTGAACACTTCTTAACCTGTCCCCCCGCCCTTTATAAAGTCACTTTACTGCCCATCATACATCACTTTACTTCACTGTACTGCTGTCACCTTACATTGTGTGCACCATGTGCACTTGTATATTGTAAATAGTAACTGTAACTGTAAATGTCCCTAATAGCTCTCATTTAATTTTGTTAATATTTGCCATGATTATACTGCCATCTATTGGTGAAACATGAAACGGAACTAACAAGCTCATTACGTTTTGACCCGACCCCAATTCAGTGCGCACTCAGCCAATTCAGCGCCATAGACTGCCGCATTTTTCCCGGTCTCAGGTAAAATCCATAAAATGTTAATAATTGTACAATAATATCTCGAGTAACAAGATGTTAATGTATGTTTTGTATTTAAGTAGACACTGAGACGAAAGCAGTGTGTTTTGCGGCCAAGTTGAGCAATTAGCCCCTCGTGGAAGTCAGCTCACGAGGTTCGTTTCTTTTTGTGTACTTTTATTTTCATATACACACAAATGTATTTTAATACGTTTTTTGTATGTGATTCTTTTTGTGAGCAGTTCTCACGGGTTGCAAGGGTTCCAAATACAAGAATAAACCCTGTTTTATCTACCTCGTGCTCATGCTATTTCCTGAGGGTGCTACAGTGAGAACTCTTCTGCTCCGCATGGGTAGACGAGACTGTGCCAGCGCCAGGGTGCAGAGGGACGACAGCGCCTCCATTAACCACGGCCACATGCACAACAAGCAACTAAAGCGGGAAATCCAGGTTTCCAAATGAATGTTGCCACAAGGACTAAGTTTATTTCATAAGTGAATAATATAAACACAAAGGACAATTATAATAAGTAAGAAGACACAGTATTTCATCTGTTGTTGATCTGAGGACTGAAATAATTTTCAATTGATTTTTGTTTCAAGTTTAAGTGATTTTGCATACAATATTATTATTTGTGTTTATGCTAAGTTACTACAGTGTTCATATTTGATTGTTATCAGTTAGTTGATGAAAGGATTTTATTATTGGTATATTCAAGATGTATGCTTGCTTATACTGTGATTTAAGTCAAACAAAATAAGTCAAGTTTAAGTTACACTTAGACAATTTTATAATATTTACTGTGCTATTAAGTTACATTAGTGTACAGTAACAGTTATATAAGGCAATAACCTCTTTATTTAACATCAAATATCTGATTGAACCCTAAGATATTCCTATCAATACCAAACAAAGTAGTAGTAACCAATGGCGAACGTTAATGCTCTCTCTGAAGTTGGTGAAGAAAGTGATGAGACGCTGAAGATAAATGAGCCACAAGATGAATCTAATAGCGTTGCAGATGATAATTCCACTCGTTCACAAGATGCACAAAGAAGCCAAAGAGTCCGAAGGTTAACGGAAAAGGGGCAAGAGCTGCACAATGATCAGGTAAAGAAAGCCACACATCGTTTCAGTATGTGCTATGAGAAGTGGAAGGCTGTCACTAAAGATGCTAAAGGTGCTATGGATGGATCTGGCTCTAAGAATCTTCTTACTGAACACGTCTCTCAGGTAACAAGTGCCTTGAACAATGTTTGTTCAGCATATGATGGCTTGCGACGCATGGTTTCTCCTGATGGTGATATAAGACGCAGGATGGACACACGCGAAGCAGTTACAAGGAGAATCTGTGAAGCATCAGAAAAACATCACTACCCAACTAAGGAGGGAAGTTTATGCTTAGAACATCCAAAGGATACAGAGTCAGTATTTAAGTTTGCTGCAGCATCAAAGACTAACTCAAAGGTGTCCAGCTGTCACTCCAGCAGACATTCCAGTAAAAGGCAAGATGCTGCGGCTGAAGTTGCTGCAAATGAAGCTGCTTTAGAAGTTCTACTTGAACAAGAAAATCGAATCAAGGAGATTGAAAAACAAGAAGCAGAACTTGCACAAAGGCAAAGAGATTTAGAAGCTAAGCGCAGAGAAGTAGAGCGGCTGGAGACAGTTAAAAACTAAACGCTGCTAAAGCAAGGCAACAAGTGTATGAACATAGTGAGTGTTCAGATGAAGAAATATATGATCTGCTTCACCAGCGCACATCTGACAATGAAAAGAAAGTGAAGTCGGACAACAAAGACTCTCCTATTAAAATGCAATGTGCTCCACAAAAAATGATGGCTCCATTTGAAGCAAACACAACAGAGCTAGTTAGAGCATTTGCAGAGTCTCTAAGTGCGAGTCGTCTCCCGGTCCCAGAGCCAACTATATTCAGTGGCGACCCCCTCAAGTACAATGACTGGAAGATTTCCTTTCAAACGCTCATAGACAGGAAAGGTATACCAGCTGAGGAGAAGTCATACTATTTGAGAAAGTATGTGGGTGGACCTGCCAGACAGGCCATAGAAAGCTATTTTCTTCTTGGCACAGAGCCAGCCTACTACACAGCATGGGAAGTTCTTGAAGAGAGGTATGGCAATCCATTCCTCATAGCCAAGGCATTCCGAGACAAACTCGATGCATGGCCAAAGATAAGTTCAAAGGGCAGTGTGGAACTTCGAGAGTATGCAGATTTTCTTCGCAGTTGTAATGCAGCTATGTCACAAATCAAAGGACTTGAAGTGCTTAATGACTGCAACGAAAACCAAAAAATGCTTGCCAAACTACCTGACTGGCTCACATCAAGCTGGAATAGAAAGGTAACAGAAATGCAAGAAATATACCACACGTTCCCAAGCTTCAGCCGTTTTGCAGAGTTTGTGTCCTATGAAGCCAAAATTGCATGTAATCCCATTACATCTCTCCATGCTCTCAAACCAAGTGAAGGTGAAAAGATTACTAAAGTGCCAAGGAACAGAACTTATGGTGCTAAGGTTATGGCGACTAATTCCAATGAAAAAGCTGGCAGCTGTATCTACTGTGAAAGATCAGGCCACTGTCTACAAAAGTGTTGGAAGTTCATGAATGAGAACATTGGAGAAAGACTAAAGTTTGTACAAGAGAAGAGGTTATGCTTTGGCTGCTTAAAATCTGGCCATCGCTCAAAGGATTGCGAAAGCAGAGAATCTTGCGACACATGCAAGAAAAAACATCCAACATGTCTCCATGACACTCGAACTAAGGAAGAAAGAACTCCAACGAAGAGTAATCAAGCAAATAGCAATGACAAGACAAACCAAAGAAAGATAAAAGATACAGATTCAACCACACAAGCTACAAATGTCACAACTAGTGAAGCCACTTCAAACAGAGTAATGCAAAACTCTAAAGACACTCACACATCCTCGATCATACCAGTGTGGGTATCAGCTGAAAGCGAGCCAGAACGAGAAGTTCTAGTCTATGCGCTCCTTGATACACAGAGCGACACTACCTTTATTTTAGGAGAGACTGCAACAGCTCTAAATACTAAAAGTGAACCTGTTCAATTAAAACTGACTACTATGTCTTCAAGGAACGCAGTTGTCTCATGTCACAAGATCTCTGGTTTGCAAGTGAGAGGATTTAACTCCAACAAGATCATTACCCTACCAGCAACATATGCAAGGGACTTCATTCCAGCAAATCGAGATCACATTCCGACACCCGAAACTGCAAAGGCATGGTCACATCTTGAACACATTGCAGATGAAATCGCTCCACTTCAAAGCTGCGACGTTGGTCTTCTGATCGGCTACAACTGTCCTCAAGCACTAGTTCCCCGTCAGGTGGTGTCTGGCAAGGAAAATCAGCCATTTGCACAAAGAACCGATCTGGGATGGAGCATCGTGGGCTTTGGAAATCCATGTTTTGATTTTGGAGATCCGTTTGGAATGAGTCATAAGGTTATTGTTAAGAAAGTGGTGCCTGGTGCTCAAACATCTTCAAACCTCACCAATGAAGTGCATTATGTTTACAGGACTCAAATCAAGGAGATTGTTTCACCTGCTGATGTACTAAGAATGTTGGAGTCTGACTTTGTGGAAAAAGCCTCAGAAGATGTTAAAATCTCTCAAGAAGATCTGAGATTTTTGACCAGAATGAAGGAAGGCATTAGACTCAAAGAGGATGGACATTTTGAGATGCCGCTTCCGTTCAAGTGTGAAAGACCTAACCTTCCCAATAACAAAATATGCGCCATCCATAGACTCAGATGCTTGGAAAGGAAGCTAAGAAGAAACAAACAGTACTATGTGGACTACAAAAAGTTCATGGAGGAGATCCTAGCTCATGGTGATGCTGAGAAGGTACCTCAACAAGACATTGAGAAGTCCCCGGCATGGTACATCCCACACCATGGGGTGTATCATCCACAAAAACCGGGAAAGATCCGCGTTGTCTTTGATGGCTCCGCTAAGTTTCAAGGAACATCCATTAATGATCATCTTCTGACCGGCCCAGAGCTTACCAACACCTTGCTCGGAGTCCTGTGTCGTTTCCGCAAAGGCCCAGTGGCAATAATGTGTGACATAGAACGCATGTTCCACCAGTTTCACGTGTGTGCCCCTGACCAAGACTATCTACGGTTCTTATGGTGGGAGAATGGTGACCTCGACACTCCATTTGCCGTTTACAGAATGAAGGTACACCTATTTGGTGCGGCTTCTTCCCCAGGTTGCGCAAACTTCGGCCTTAAGCACCTGGCATCCGAAGGAGAGGGACACTTCAGCAAAGAGACAATAAAGTTTATCAAAACAAATTTCTATGTCAACGACGGATTAGCAAGTGTCGGTACCGAAAGTCAAGCAATACAACTCGTCAATGAGGCGCGTGAACTCTGCAGCAAAGGCAACTTACGTTTGCACAAGTTCATCTCAAACAGCACCAAGGTTCTTGTCTCACTTCCGAGTGAAGAATGCCCTGTATCTGCCAAAGATTTGGACATGGCGTTAAGTGAAGTTAAAATGGAGAGAGCACTTGGTGTGCAATGGTGTGTAGAATCAGACCAGTTCCGGTTCAGAGTCACTGTGAAAGAAAAGCCACTCACTCGAAGAGGAGTTTTGTCAACCGTTGCCTCAGTGTTCGATCCACTTGGATTCGTGTCACCCTTTATCTTGCTGGGAAAGCAGATCCTTCAACAAATGTGTCGAGACAAACTCAGCTGGGATGACACCTTACCTGACAGTCTACGACCTCAGTGGGAAGCTTGGCTGCTTGACCTGAGGAATCTAGCAGAAGTCAAGATTCAGAGATGCTACACTCCAACTAACTTCATTACACAGCATTATGAACTACATCATTTCTCTGATGCCAGTACGTCTGGATATGGCATGTGTACCTACCTCAGAGCTGTAAGTTCATCCGGGGAAGTCCACTGTTCTCTGGTGATGGGAAGATCGAGAGTTCCACCATCGAAGGTCACAACCATTCCACGACTTGAGTTGTCAGCTGCTGTTGTTGCTGTTCGTACCGGTGACATGTTGAAGAAGGAGCTGGAAGTTGACATCTCACAAGAAACTTACTGGACGGACTCAAAGGTTGTACTAGGATACATCGGGAATGAAGCCAGAAGGTTCCATGTATTTGTTGCAAACAGAGTTGAGCGTATCAAACAAAGCACTGAGCCTACACAATGGAAGTACGTGGTGTCCGAAGAGAATCCCGCAGACCATGCCTCAAGAGGTCTTACAGCTGAACAACTTGTAGCCTCAAACTGGTTTACAGGTCCTGATCTTCTCTGGCAGAAGGTCTTGTCCAGTGATGAAATCAAGGTGGGAGAAGTATCAAGCAATGACCCAGAAGTTAAGAAGGTTCAAGTACTCAAGACACACGTTAAAGAAGAAAGGTCACTTCTGGATCGCTTGCATAAGTTCTCTGACTGGTCA